GCCACCCATCACCGTGGAGAACCAGGAATGGCAGACCACGCGGATGCCAACATTTTACGCAGCTCCCCAGCTAGGGGCAAAGTGGCCAGAGGAAGAGCCGGTCTTCCACGCGCACATCCCCGCGCCCACACAGTCCCATTCGACCGGGGGACCCCAAGCAGCCGGCGAGGCGCACTGCGCACGCGCACTCAGGCCGCCGCTCCCGCCGCCCTCCCTCCGCAGCGGGGCGCCCCCGCCCCCGCGCCGCTCAGTTTTAAACCCTCAGCAGACGGAACTCGACTTAAAAATAACTATTTTGACAGTTCGGATGTAAATATGTGAGTGACGCTTGGGGCTGTTTTTCCTTCACACTTCCCCTCACCCCTCGCTTCTTACCCCAGCCCAACTCTGCTGAGGCTGAGATGATGGGAGAGCACCGTCTGCAGGATGCTCCCCAAACTGCAGCAGGAGGACGAGACTCGTCCTAGAGCGCCCAGCCAGCTTGGGGGCGGGGCGGGGGGCCCCAGCTCACTTTCACCGCACACATCCCACGCCTTTTGGGGGTAAGCATATTAACTGCCACGATTTCTTGTCTACTGCCTTAAAAAAGGAGACGTTAGCCAGCACACAGCTGAGCTAATGTAATCACTCCTGACTCCTCCACAGCCTGTGCATATTGACTGATGTCTATTTCATACCTGACCCTGTGCTACATTCAGTGGAACACGTGACATGTACAACATGCACACTTGCGATTCCTAATTTTTGCAACGAACCTTCCAGTTAGCTCATATTGAATACCTGCTTTGTGCCAGGCCTGGAGCTAGGTGAGCACTTGAGCACAGGCTATGTGACTTGACCCTTGCAAAAACTTGTGGGTATTATGATCTGCATTTTACATATGGAAAACAGAAGTCTAAGGAGATTGAGTGACTTCTCTAGGCTGCCACAGATAGTAAAGAGAACAAGTCTTGTGCTCTTCCCTCCGTAGTCAATTGAGTGGAAGGGTGGTGGAGGCAGAGTTCCACCCACTCTATAAGTAGGGGAAACTGAGGCCCAGACAGACAAAGCTGCGTGTCTGTCTGGTCACCAATACGCATTTCAGCGGGGGCAGAGCCAGGACAACAACGCAGAAGCTTAGGACTGCCAGCCTGCACATCCCTTCCCAATCTTCTGGCCCCAGGCAACGTGGTGGCAGAGAACAGACACCATGTAATGTCTTTGAGAGTCCCACTATCTGTTTGGAAGAAGGGTAGGGAAAAGGTAGCAGGAGAAGAGTTAGAGAAAGGAAGAGGAAGGGAAAAGGAGGGAGGAGGTCTGGAGAGTGGACAAGCATAAGTCCCTGTAGACATGTATGGCCTGGCCCAGTAATGCAGTGGGATGGGGAAGTTCAGAGAGCCCCCAGCCACTCCTCCCTTCTGTGCTCCTGTTCTCCCACTGGGTGGTGCCTCTCCTTCCTTGACTGGGTGCACACTGCTCTCACGCTTTTTCCCCTCATCCTAACAAAACCTGCTCTAAGAGGGAATCTGAGGTAATCACTGATGTTGTGGGACAAGTGCTTGATAACTGCCAAGTGTTTGCTTCCCTTCTGGATTACAGACCCCAAGGGATCAAAACCTGAAGTTAAAGAAAGGAAGCACTCATGAAATGTCAGATGTCAGATTCTGGAGAGGAGAGGAATTTGGGAACAATATGGCCCATTTGTGACAGAAGAGGCTTCTGATCATCTCCACTGGGAAGGTCATTGCTAGCTCTGTCCATGTGTACATACAGCCATGGGCAGAAGTCTGTAGACATTGGCAAAGAAAAGAGGAGGGGCCAGGCACAGTGGCTCATGCCTGTAATCCCAGCAATTTGGGAGGCCGAGGTGAACAGATCACCTGAGGTCGGGAGTTTGAGATCAGCCTGACCAACATGGAGAAACCCCGTCTCTACTAAAAATACAAAAAATTAGCCAGGCGTGGTGGTGCATGCCTGTAACCCAGCTACTTGGGAAGCTGAGGCAAGACAATCGCTTGATCCCAGGAGGTGGAAGTTGTGGTGAGACAAGATTGAGCCATTGCACTCTAGCCTGGGCAACAAGAACAAAACTCCGTCTCAAAAAAAAAAAAAAAAAAAAAAAGGAAGAGAGAAGGACCCCTGGGATCTGTGCCCTGGACATGCTTTCCATCCTTTAGGGCTCAGATCAAATTCCACCTTGGCCAGGCACAGTGGCTCTTGCCTGTAATCCCAGCACTTTCGAAGGCCAAGGTGGGAGGATCACTTGAGCCCAGGAGTTCAAGGCCAGCCTGGGCAACATGGTGAAACCCTACCTCTACAAAAAAAACCCCACAAATAACTAGCTGGGCATGGTGGTATATGCCTGTAGTCCCAGCTACTCAGGAGGCTGAGGTGAGAAGATTGCTTGAGCCTGGGAGGTTGAGGCAGCAGTGAGCCATAACTGCACCACTGCACTCCAGCCTGGGGAACAGAGCAAGACCCTGTCTCAAAAAAATAAATAAAAGTAAAAAAACTCCACCCCTTCTGTGATGCCTTCCCTGATTCTTCCCCACTCTACAGTTGTGTTCTCTCTGGCCTCTGAAGCCCAGAGCACTTTACTTATACTCTAGCTGAGGCATTTTTGAGCATTGCCACATTTTTTTTTTTTTTTGAGATGGAGTTTCCATCTTGTTGCCCAGGTTGGAGTGCAATGGCACGATCTTGGCTCACTGCAACCTCTATCTCCCAGGTTTAAGTGATTCTCCCGCCTTAGCCTCCCGAGTAGCTGGGATTACAGGTATGTGCGACCATGCCTGGCTAATTTTGTATTTTTTAGTAGAGATGGAGTTTCTCTCTGTTGGTCAGGCTGGTCTTGAACTCCCGACCTCAGGTGATCCACCAGCCTTGGTCTCCCAAATTGCTGGGATTACAGGCGTGAGCCACCGTGCCTGGTCACCACATTGTTTTTTAACTTATTATTAAATTGTGAGTTTCTCCAAGGCTGGAGCAATGTCTGGCTTCCCTGCATTTCTCCTGCAGCCCCTCCCACAGGGCTTTGCATAGGGCCAGGACTCAATATTGATTGAATAGATTCAGTAAACAGCAGTGCATAGCATACATTTCCCCATGCAAAAGGGTAAAGGCTGGGGTGCAGACAGCAGAGGGGCTGGGGCAGGCATCTCGGCTGACTCCTGAAGATGGAAAGGCTTTGGGTCGAATCTGCCCCAGACCATTCAACAAACACTTAGTGAGCGCTTTGTGCTAGGTGTCATGGTGGCTGTGACTCCAGCTCTCTCACGAACAGCCAATCCACCGCTCTAAACAACAGCTGCCTGTGTGATAACTTGAGCCTCCTCCTGTCCCAGATCACTTCCTTCCTAACAGGAGGCTGGCTTTGGGGTTAGACTTGCTGGCTCCATCCCTCTACCCTCTCTCAGAGCTTCCTGCTTCGGAGATTGTTGGAATCTCTGTTCCCCCAATCCAAGTGGAGTTATGACATCATAATTCTTTTTTAAACAGCTTTATGGATGTATAATCACATACACAATATAATTCTTGTTCTTAATGTTATGCCATCTTATAGCATCTTTCTTTCTTTTATAAGTCTGAAAATTCCCATGTGTTCTGTGAATACAGTCTTCAGTTCTGAGAAGTTCAACTAAAGGTTCTTATCTTCCTTCCTTTTTTTTTTTTTCCTTTCAGACAGGGTCTCACTCTGTTGGCCAGGCTGGAATGCAGTGGCGTGATCTCTTCCCAAGCTCGAGGGATCCCCGCCCCTCAGCCTCCCAAGTAGCTGGGACTACAGGTGAATGCTACCGTGCCTGGCTAATTTTATTTTATGCTTTTAATGGAGTTTTGCTCTTATTGCCCAGGCTGGAGTGCAGTGGCGTGATCTTGGCTCACCTCAATCTCTTCCTCCCGGCTTCAAGCGATTCTTCTGTATCAGCCTCCTGAGTAGCTGGGATTACAGGCATGCGCCACCACACCTGGCTAATTTTGTATTTTTAGTAGAGATGGGGTTTCTCCGTGTTAGTTAGGCTGGTCTTGAACTCCTGACCTCAGGTCATCTGCCCTCCTCAGCTTCCCAAAGTGCTGGGATTACAGGCGTGAGCCACCATGCCCAGCCTCCAAAAAATGTATATGTATATATTTTTATGTATATATGTGTGTGTGCATATATATATATATTTTGTATATATATATATATATTTTGTGTATATTCTATATAGTAGAGACGAAGTCTGGCTATGTTGCCCAGGCTGGTCTTAACTCCTGAGCTCAAGTGATCCTCCTACCTTGGCCTCACAGGCATGAGCCACTGAGCCTGGCCCTTTCTCTTTCTTAAAAACACCTTTAAGACTATGTGATTGATCAGCTGGCCATGGTGGTTCATGCCTGTAATCTCAGCACTTTGGGAGGCCAAGGTAGGCAGATCGTGAGATCACGAGTTCGAGACCAGCCTGGCCAGCATGGTGAAACTCCATCTCTACTAAAAATTCAAAACAAACAAAAAATTAGCCAGGGCACACCTGTAGTCCCAGTTACTTGGAAGGCTGAGGCAGGAGAATTGCTTGAACCTGGCAGGGAGAGGTTGCAGTGAGCTGAAATCACATCATTGCACTCCAGCCTGGGTGAAAGAGTGAGACTCCATCTCAAAAAAAAAAAAAGACTACGTGATCATATTGTAGTCCTAAACCACCTTCCCTGTTCCCCACACCCACCCACTCTGGCTGGCTTTATCTCACTATTATTTCTGAGATGGTAAGAGGCAGGAGGCCTGGCTTCCTTCAGTTTAGAGATAGCGCAAATGAGGCTCACAGAGTTCCAGGGGCCCGGAGTGTCACCCAAAGCTTCCTTCTTGGCCCCAACTCCTCACTTTATGTCCATACTCCTGACTCTTCCTCCCAGTCTCCAATCTCCCTCCTCTCAGCAGAGTTGATGGAAACAAATGTTTAGCTTCTGCTGCTGTAGTATATTACAGTGCGAAATAAACATGGATGCCCCATCTACCCTGACAACATAATTCATTTACTGCAAAGGGATATAATAAAATCTGTTTATTACAGCAATTAACAGAGCAGTGTTTGCCGGCATGCTTTTCAGTGGCAACCAGAAAAGTGCTTACTCCAGGTGCACAGATTCAGGAAACCAAGCAACTTGAGCCAAAATGAAACCAATTAGAGGCTTAGTAAATGGGTCCCAGCCACCCCAGGAAAATTAACCATCCAAGAGTCAGTTCAGCCGAAGTAGAACCTCAGTGCAGGAGTTTAGCATGATATAGATTGCTACTTCAGAGTTAATCCAGACCTGTCTCCAGGGTCATGGTCTTGAGGATGTGAAATATACCCACCCAACACAGCCACCCCAGGTGCTGGGTTCAAATCTCAATAAACTACATAGGGGTATATAGGTGGGGAATGTTAGCACCATTGACTCTCAGGGGTCTCCTGCCACTGCCATGGATTGAGGACATAAAGAAAGGACTAGCAGCTGGGCCAGAGAGAACAGACAAAGAACAGAAATCCTTTCATTAGACCCTGTCTTCAAAAGCCTTGAGAGAAATGTGGTCATCTGAGTAGATCTGCTTTTCAACTTGGAGAATATGTGCTATTTTGCTTTGGGCAGAAAGGCTGGACAAAGGCATGGAGCCATTTGTTCCAGTTCTTTGGTGGAGGGACAGAAGAATGGGAAGTGCTGGTTTCGATTCCCCGGTGAATCTGATTGCTAATTAATCAAACTTAATTCTCTATCTTCTTTTAAGAGGTCAGGGGTCAGCTTATACCAACAGGACATTCTTCAGAATGAAATCTCATTTTCCCAAGAAGGGAAGTGGCCCCAGTGTCACACCTGTGTAGGAAAAACCCATCCTGAGTGGCAGCTCTTTTTTCTCTGGAGCAGTCTCTCAGGGAGACCATGGGGAGTTTTGATCTCCTAGAAAACATGAACCTGGGTGCCTAAGCCAGGTAGAAAACCAAAGGATCAAAAGGGCAGAGACAAACCCCATCAAACAGTTCCCCCTGGTTGAGGGGTGACCTAGTGGGCTCCCCTTTTCTCCATCACTCTTTCCCATCCTCAGACCTCTGGGAGAAGATGCTGTGTTGAAGGATGAGGGCAGAAGCCAGCTTGGCCTCTCTGGAACAGAAGAAGTTAGAGCTTTGAGCATCATGAACAACGGGATAAAAATAGCAGTGTTGCCATGGCAACAGAGGCTGGGAGAGTCCTGAGGATCTGTCTGGGTCCTGCCATCTCCCCTTCCTGATTTCCTCCCACCCCTTGGATGGAACACAGGAATGAGCTAAAGTAGGAGAGATGGCTGCCCCAAAAGGGAAAGCGACAGACCAGCAGCCCATGAGGAAAACCTTTGAACTCCAGACTCAAGGGCTTCTGCCAGCTCCTGAGCTGCCCAGGTCTGGGAGCTCTTGGCTTTTACAATTTCTTCCTCGGCAAGACAACTTCCTCCAGGGATGCCCTGGGCAGCCACCACTCACCCTCCTGATGGATGGTCCTGACCTCCTGGGCTCCCCTGTGAAGAGCCAAGGTTTCTGTTTCTTTTTCATTATAGTTCTGATCCCATGGAAATTTAGAGAAGGGAACCCAGGCGGGCTGGCCACAACAACCCTGACACAGTGGGCACTGACTACTCCAGGGGTGACCTGGGGGTCCAGAGGATTCACTCTGATGAGCCAGATACCCTTGTCAGCAACATGGACTTGGGGGGCTGTGTTTGTGTTGGGAGCAGGGTGATGGTGGTGACAGCTCTCTCTTGTTTTTGCTTTTGGGTCAGAGAGACAGAACGTTCATTCCTTGGGAATAGATTTTGGTTCTTGTGGTATTGTCAGCTCGATCACCTGCTGGGCACAGCAGCCACCTTCAGGAGGAACACCAGACTTCCTGGACCAGCCTGGAGGGAGCCCACTGAACTAAGCAGCCCAAAGATTCCTTCTCTGGCGAAAGCCCATCTTCGCGGTTGTGAACCAAGTGTCTGTCTCCAAAAGTTCCAGGCATATCTGGGCACATGTGATAAGTGTGCCCTTTATAATGCGTGCCTTCCTGTGAGGTGGGGAGGGCATAGGACTCATTGCCACCTGTTAAAGAGAAGGCTGGGAGAGAGGAGGCAATTTGCCAAGGTCAGGAGTCAGCCACTGCAGAACACTGGGGTGCTGTGGCTTTCCATCCAGAAACGATCATCAGCACATTCCACCACCAGCACATCCCCAACCACTGGGCAAAATGCACATTCAGTCTGTAGACAGGACATATTCCAGCCTGAGGCACTTCCCCTTGCAGAAGGCAAGGAATGAGGTGTGGTGGTTTGATCAGCATGGAGATGGGCACAAGAGGAGCTGTGCAAAAAGAAGCCCATGGGTTACATAACTGGAGCAGGGCACCAGCCCATGAAATCTAAAAAGAATGGCTTGAGCATCTATCTGCAGGTGGTGGTGGTCGTGACGGTGTGTGTATGCGACAGAGAGAAAGCGAGAGTGTACGTTAGAGTTGTGCCTGTAATGGGCTAGACAGGACCTCGAGTCAGAGTCCAGGCCAACAGACTTACTCCCCTGGGGCCTGGCTGTAGGAGGGAGGAGAGGCAGAGCTGCAGGGGGTCCTGGGCCCTGGCTAGAGGAGGATTTTAGCAGAAGCTCTGGGGGACTTGCCTTTCCCTTTCACTCCCCTGTCCCCCGCACTTCTCAGAGCCTCCATACCACGTCCGCCCACCCTCCGCACACATTTGCTGTCTGCACAGAAAGCATCTGTGAGGGCAGAGGAAACCTGTGACCCTCTGGTTCCACAACCCTATGCCCCACTGAGGCTCAAATTCCCAGAGTCATGGAGCCCTGGACTCCAAGGGGGACTTAAGAGGACATTCGTGTAATCCCCGATTTCTGGTTGAGGAACCTGAGTCTCAGAAATAAGATGGGACTAGCCTAAGGTCACATGGTCATTAGTTTCCAGGCAGGGCTAGAACCTGGGAGACCTGGCTCCCAGCTCAGTGTTCTTTGCATCCCACACTACTACTTCATGCATATTTCAGTTAGTTAATTATTGCTCTTTTTTTTTTTTTTTCTAAAAATAACAATCTCCCTATATATTTCTATGAACCCGTATGCTACATTCAAAAAGCCCTTCCCTGGGAGCAGAGAAGGAAATGACATTCTAATAAAGAGGTTTCAACTTGAGACAAGAAGCCCCTTGGGTCCTGTGGGCCAGGGTCCCAGACAACACTCAAGTCACAAAGACCCTTCACACTTCTTGATACTCCATTCAACAGCCTAAAGCCCAAGAGGGAACATGGCATGGGAAGTCCTCCCTTTACAGATGGGGAAAACTGAGGCCGAGGGAGGCTAAGACCCCCCACCTGCCTGCAAGGAAGAATCAGTTTCACGCAGCAAGAACAAGAGGCCTGATCTCCCTCACAGAATCATCTATCCATGCACCTGAGCTCAAGACCCCCACCTCAAGGTGGAGTCTCTGGGAGAGAACCATGGAGAGAGGATGGGAAGGCAAGGCAGCCAGGCCCGCCCCAGAAGGAGCAGAAGCCTGGCCAGAAGTCAGAGCCCCAGGGTACAGGGTCTGTGGATGTTGGAGCTGCTTTGGCCTTCCCTGTACCAAGGGCATAGAGGTGGGCACAGGTGTCCAGACTGCCTCCCAAGATGCTAAAAGGAGCAAAGTCCCCATTTCTCTGAGAAGGAAACTGAGGGACAATAGAATGTGGGGTTGGGGTGCACCTGGTAGAAGCTGCTACCTCCTACTCAGATCAGCTGCAGTGCTGACCCCAACCTCAGCCCTGGGTGAAGAAGGGGCCACCGGCTTGGAGGCAGAGGACAACTGGACCTCCATTCAGAACACTTTGACCTTGGGACTCCACCCATGTTCCCAAAGCCAGGGCTCAGGATATCCAGTATCCCTCTGGAGCCAAGAGAGTTCTCCCAGGGGAAGAAGCTTTCTGGATGGGCTCACTGCCAAAGGCCTGCAGCTGCACTCCCTGCCAAGTTCTGAGAGGTGCACGTGGGGGAAGCTCTCCTCGGCCACCTACTCCCCAGGACATTCGTTCTCCACTTTCCTGACCTTTCTTCCCGGTGAGCCCGTGTGGTCAGGACAGAACACCCAATACCTCTGAGTCTCCGGGGTACAATTTCATCCTCTGCCACAGGAGTGACTTCTCTAGGATTGCAGCCTCGCAGGCAACCGCTAGGGACACGTATGCCCTCCAGGCGGCTCTCCGGCCTCTGTATCAAGGTAACTTTTCTGCCCACCTCTTTGCCTCAGCCAAGGCCTTTACTATCCAAGAGGACAAAGAACCAGGGAGTTTTTCTCCTGTCCTTTGTGACTCCACTGGCCTTTATTGCTGAATCTTGCTGTTCCCTTGAGGGAAGGACTTCTGTTTATAATTCTTTGGATATAAAAGGAAATAACAGACTGTAGAAGGCTAGGGCTGGGAGGTAGGGGCAAAGGAAGGAGTTGAAGGATGAAAGGAGGAACCCAAGCTGTGTTCAAGCCTTGTGAAGACAATCTGGATCCCACCAAATCTGCCCAAAGCAGAGGAAAGGCCCTGAGTATGGGCATGAGCTGGGCAGGCAGAGGCTGTCTGCGTAGAACATGCCCTTGCTTCTCCGAGTTTCTGGGCAAACCCGCCGAGGAAGCCTCTTGTTCTCCTTAATTGCCCAGAGAGGACCACATTCCAAGGAAAGTGGAGCCCAGACTCTCCTGTCTTGGGGCCCTGACCTCTCTACCCAGGGAACCTGTTTACCTGTCAGAGGGCTACTCTGTCACTGGGGACTTTGCTCCTTGGCTGAGAAGTTCCCCGATGCGGGAGAACAGGCTTACAGAGTCTGCCTGAATCTGCCTGAAGCATCTCAGGGGCTGGCATTCCTCTCTGCTGGTCTTCTAGCCCCGAGAACTCCAGGATCAAAGACAAAAGGCTAAGTTATGCCAAAATAGGAGGGGAGAGGATGGAGAAGGAAGGAAAGAGGGAAGGAAATGTTTTTTTCTTTTGCTTTCTACCTCCTGGAAATGGGCTGGGGGTAAGGGCAGAGACTGAAGCTGGAAGGTTGGCAGGGGCGGGGCGATGAGGGAGAAAGTCAAGGGAAGTCCTAGAGATCCCCCTACCCCAAGAGTTTCCCCTGAAGGCACCACATATGAACACAGTCCCCTCTATGGCTTCTGAGGAGAGAAGAAAAAAGCAGGGGAGATAGGAGAATGGAGGGAGGGCACAGCTCAGTCCAGGAAAGGGGCCCCTTGGTCTGGCCACAGCAAGAAGTCCCTGAGGAGGGGAGTCAGGGCCTGGGGAAGAGGCCTCTGCACATCTGTGCCGCTGCCAAGGAGGCACAGGGATCGTGATAGTGATCACGGGTGGGTCAGGGCCAGGGTTGGAGGAAACACTGCTTTCTGGAGGGCAAGAACAGAGGAAGCCACGGAGCCACTGGCCGCCTCTGCCCTCCTCCTCCCTGGGCTGGCCACCTCAGGCCTGGCCCCACCTGGCCCAGGAGGATGCTGGGAAGGGGCTGGAAAAGGACACATGTCCCCGGTCCTGGAGTCCCAGGAGAGTCTCCATCCTGGGCTTGAGCAGTTGTCTCACACTTCCACCCCAGGCCTTCTCCTGGGTCAGGGCTGCCGGTGGTTCTCTGCAAGCACAGCCACTCTCCCTTTTAGCAGCAGCTCTCCTAGCCCAAGGCCGCACATCCCTCGATCGGGTTACCCTAAGAAGAATCCCCCGAAGCTCTCAGGGCAGGAAAGAACTTTTGCTCCTTGAACTCCCTGGGGCTTCTCCATCTCCAGAAGGCATGCTGCACGTCCTGGGGTTCCCCTGTGTGGCCGGGGCCTCTCTCCAAGGAGGTCTGAGAATTGGAAGCTACTGGGTGTGGGCATGAGGAGGCTGGGAGGCACACAGGAGGCTGATGCCCTCAGGTGAGAGTCAGGCTGAGAAGAGCACCGGCTAAATCAAGACTTAAAATGTACACACAGCTTCCTGCTCCAAGCCCCAGCCACAAGCAGGCACGGTCAGGCCTGGGACCTACTGGGGGCAGGGTCTGGCAGGGTCCCTGATGGAGGGGCCCTGGTTCTGCTCACACCGCCGTCTCCCGCTCTCTGTGAACTTCCTCCTTCTTCCTCTTCATTTTGCAGAAGCCATGGAGACCACAGAAGCAGGCGAAAGTGAACTGGGGCATGCCCTACGCCAGGCTGGGGGAACACTCACCAGAGATCTGCAGGGAAAGGCAGGGGAGGGAGAGGAGCAGGAGAAAGGCAGGGAGAGAGAAGCAAGCTGGGGTTAATGCTCCCGGAACCCTCTGGGTCTGGCCCAGTCCAGGCCACTCCCTGAGGCAGCCCTGCTAGGTCTCTCACACCGCCTGGGGGAGGAGCCCGGCCTCCAAACAACAGCTCTTTGAAACTTCAGTGTTTTCTGATCTGTATGGAGCTGATGTCATGCCTCACATTGGAGACTGGGTGAGTCCAAGGGAGAAAAGAGAAAGCCCAGCTGCTGCCTCCTTTGTTCCCCTCCCACCCACTCTGCCTCACCTCATCCCCATACACCTGTGGTTGGGGAACAGGAAGCAAGCTGGCTTAAAATAGGCTCTGGCTTGTGCCACCTTACACAGGTTCCATCTGGGGGCATCCACTCGCTTCTGCAGGCCACACACACGACAAGCCCTCCTCCATCCTTCTTCCAGGGTAGCCTTACTCTGACACCTGAGACAGTCAGATTCCTCCCCTCCTGAATAACCCTGAGTTGTCTGATACCCTAGGAATGCCTGTAGGGAGTGACCATGCACTTCCGTCGATTGCTCAGAGCAATGCAAATCCCAGTCCTCCTCATGGAGAGAACAGACAGCAAAGAGAGTTCTTTTAGCCAATAGGCTCTTTTATTTAGCACCTATGTTGGGCAAAGGGGTTGGGAGGTAAATACAAAAGGGCAAAAAGACATGGTTTCTTCCCTGGCACATAAGTAAGTCTGAGGGAGAGGCTGAGGCTGGATCTGCCCCAGCTGGACACGTTGTCCCTCACCTCTGGCTGACCCGGCCCTCAGCAGGAGCCAGGGGCCACTCTGGTGGCTGTGGCAGTCTGGCTGGGAAAGAGAGGCAGCTTCAGGAGCTCAGCTTCAGTCTGCAAGAGTATCCCTTTCTCCAAAGGCTCATTTAGGTTCCCTAGCCTTAGGCACCTGCAGATTCTTCCAGTTCACCTCTCTGCCCTTCCTCTTGCCCCTGGGCCTGTTGAAAGGGAGCAGAAGTGCATTCAAGTCACTCAAGCAGAGAAGCTGGGAACAAAGGAACCAAAGCACCCTGCGTGGAGGTCAGGCCCGAGCCTGGTCTGAATCACTCGTCTCTCCAGGAGTAACACTGGGGGCAAGCAGGTGAGTGAAGCCCGAGTGCTGCGGGGAAGGAGGGGGGCACAGGGCTATGCAGGAGGGGTTTGGAATACGGAAGCATGAGGCGCCTCCCTTCTCCATCCCCACAAGCAAAGGGGATTGCATAGAATGCCCTGGGCCCCCTAGCAAGGCACATGTGCAAAGTGATTTCACTGCCTTTGAGGAATGTGGCATGGCCCAGGTGGTGGCTCTCTGGACAGTTCCACTGGTCTGGACAACCCAGTCCTTTTGGAAAAACTTCCTTCATGTTTCTCCACTCAGAACCGAGGCCCACACCAAGCACGGTGCCCTGTGGAGTCCTGTCAAAATTCTCCCCTCCCTCAGCCTCTCAGCATCCTGGTAATACAGCTAATAGCTGTAATTAATAGGTGCAATGCATTTCCACTGGCCAGCTGGATGGGCAGGAGGCCCAGCTTGAGTCAGCATGGGTAGGTAGGCTGGTTATTTAATAACCCGATTTCCAGCACCATTTACACACCCACTCTGGTTGAGTGTATATATAGTTAGCAGAGAGCAACCTCCAGGATATATATAGACAGAGCCGAGACACAACTACTATATTTCTAGATCTATCTACTGCAGCTATCTCTGGATCCCTCCTGTGACAAACCTAGAGAGAGACACGGATCCAATTTAGGACTTAGGTGGCCTGGGTTCTATTCCTGGCTCTGATGCTGACATGCTGTGTCATCCTAAGCAAGTGGCTACATCTCTCTGGGCCTTCATTATCTCATTTCATTGTACCAGGAGGTTAGGCAAGGTTTAACACTAAGACCACAAACCTAAGGGGCTGGAAGCCTTTCGGAATTCTAACTTAATTAGGAAGAAGGGAGGGAGGGTGAGTGGATTTCCTGGTAATCAGTTACTGTCATGCATGCACTTCTCTTGCTGGGGGTGTAAATCAAGGGCATGATCAACAAAGCATTCCCACGATTACTGAAAAATATATGGCTAGAAATTGACAAGCACAACAAGGCTGATCTGGGAAGGAACTCACAACTAAAACAAGCCAGGCAGGCGGCAGCCCCACAACGGGTCTAGGTCTCTTGCCCCAGGGTGCATTGATCCTCTTCCCTTTAAAACAGCAAAATATGCCCCCTTAAGTGACCGTTCCTCCCCAGGGTCCTTTGGGGAGTTTAAGAAAATCCTGTGGGCTGTGGGGTCAGAGGAATCAGGACCTACACATCAGAGGAAAGGAGAGCGAATGAAACCGGCCAGGGGCTGCAGCCTGACTCCCGAGAGGTATTCAAGGGCTGGCTGCCTCAGTGGGATTCCTGGGGCCTTGTATATAAGGGCAGAAAGTATAATAAAGGGGGCCTGTCTATTCTGTTCAGATCTTTGCTTTAAAGTGCTCTGGTTCTCCTTCCTCTTCTCTAACAGGGTCTCTAAAACGGTCCTCATTGTAAGGTGCACAACTCCAAGCCCCAGAGGCTGCCTGTGCTTTGTCTGCAGCACACAGATCGCTGGGCCAGCCCCTGAAGTGGGGGGACATGGGGCAGAGAATTCCAACCCATTTCTGTGTCCCTGCCCGCTGTGAATCCCACTCCTCCCTCAGAGTCCCCAGCAGCAGGTACCTGGGGAGTCCCTCTGCCAGGCTGTGGTCTCTGCTCCTCTCTGCTTTACGCAGGCAGGAGTCCTGTCGATTCTCTTCCTTGTCTTTACCCCTCACCCTTGGCAGAGGGCTCCAGTACCAGCTGGAGGCTCCCTGTGGAAGTCAGGTCCCCTTGCTGCATCTATTTGAGGGGGAGGAGTCTGGACTAGCGCCTGGGTCCACTCCCCACTCATCAGTGCTCATCATGGGAACTCCCCTCCCACCCTCCCACTCCATTTCCATGCCCATAGTCCAGGAGGGACTAAGGAATGGAAAAACAGCCCCCAGAAGCCCAGAATAGGACGGAGAGGCGGAGAGGACACTGGACAAACCTCCTGCCATCACACAGTTGGCTACAACTGACTGCAAGCTGTTGGCCCTGGCTTCTTCCCCATCCTCCTCTCTGGCTTTTCCCCAGCTCAGGTCCAAGATGGTTTGGGGTCTGGGGCATAGACAATGCTCTGCCCAGCCACCTTTGTGGAGCCGAGCAGAAGAGATGCCAATCCACAGAGCACGCATCCTCCCCCACCACTAGGAGGTTCCTCGGCCTCCCTGCTGATCTCTTTCCTTGGCCTGACCCCCACATCTCTCTGTGCCAAATACTCTCCCGGGGTCCTCCAACCCTTGCACCTGTGGCAAAAATGGGGCAGTGAGTCAGAGGCAGCATGAACATGTGGAAGAACCAAGAGAAAGAGGGGACTCAGAGCAGGCCAGAAAGTAAGTCAAAGAGAAATCCAGGGCCCCAGGCGTGCAGACCACAACCTCCTAGGTGTCTCGAATTTAGGCAATGTCCATCAAAGTGGGAGGCAGGGGGATGGAAGGGTAGGAAGCTATTTAAAAGTGTTGGGACATGCCAGGAATTCTCTGACAAACAAGAAAAGGGATATTGAGCCCCCCACGACCCATCCCCTCATCTCCCAAGGCAGAGAGGAAAGCAGAGGCGCTCTCAGCAAGGCAACCCCCACCTTCAATCCCCGCCACCCCTCACCCCAGGTAAAGGGCAAAAGAGAAGTGACCCAGTACAGAGGGTGTGCCCTTGGCGCCTCTATAACAAAGCTGAGCCCTCCACCCCCTCCCCGGCTCCCTTCGCACCGCGCCTCAGTAATTAAAATATGAATTCACCTTCCCTCCCTGAGCCATTCATCATTGCGAAGGGAAGCAGCTGCGGCTTAGGAGACCGGATTTGGGGGATTAGCTCGGGCGGTGGAGCAGACACACCAGGAGAAAGAATTAAAAAGGAAGGGGGTGAATTGGGTTTTCTCTCCCCACCTCCTCCCTCTCCCTCTCCCTCGGGCCGCCACGGAGCCTCCTACCCCACCCCTTCCCCCAAAGCCTAGCCTCTGCAGGTTTCTGGGAACTGTAGTCTACAAGACAGTGTTGATAAACAGGCAGGCCAGGGGTGGGTAGTGGCACAAACTACAGATCCCAGGACTTCTTCCCGGAGTTGGCAGTAGCAAAGCTGGGCACAGGCCTCCAGTCGGGGAGAGGCCGGCATTCTCCTTGGAGGTTAACTCCTTCTTGGTCCGCTTGAGCCTGAGCTCCAGCCTGAGCTCAGCAAGCTCCCTGGAATCACATGCCAAGGCCCTCTCTGCCTCTAATGGCCTTCGGAGCCCACAGATTCTAGCTTGCCAGGCCAGCCCCACTTGTATCTTGCTTGCCAACCTATGGAGAAAGCTCCCTCCACTTTTTCAGACTGCAAAGGCAGCCTAGCATTCTCAGTGGTTCTGAGGTTCTTGGGAGCTGGAGGGGTCAGAACAGCAATGGTCCTAAAATGTCTCTGTGGCCTGCACCCAGGGTTTTCCAGCCTGGCTTGGCAGAGGCTGGTCCACCCTAAGAGTGGGCAACGTGACAGGCAGCAGCAGCAGCTGGGAACCTGGTGGACCAGACCGTCAGTGCCAGAATGAACCTCAAAGGTCAAACTTTAGTATCAAACTTTCAAAACATGGGACAGAGGCTTCCCGCCCCCCCAATAGTCTTTATATTTAGAAAGGACTAGGGCTTAGCAGTCAAACTCTATTTCCACTAAAAATGGAACAAATACAATAAGAGAGAGTCATCTGAATTCAGTGTTGTTAAACATGGGCCCACTCTCCCAAGGGAGGCCTTATGCTGGGTATTTCTGAGGACTGTAAAAAGGACTGCCAGGCACAATGGCTCACGCCTGTAACCCCAGCACTTTAGGAGACCAAGGCAGGTGGATCACGAGGTCAGGAGGTCGAGACCATCTTGGCCAACACGGTGAAACTCTGTCTCTATTAAAAATACAAAAAATTTTTAGTAGAGGCGTGGTGGCCCATGCCTGTAATCCCAGCTACCTGGGAGGCTGAGGCAGGAGAACAGCATGAACCAGAGTCGGAGGTTGCAGAGATCAGAGATCCCGCCACTGCACTCCAGCCTGGCGAAAGAGTGAGACTCCGACTCAAAAAAACAAACAAGAAAAAAGACTTAGATTGCTGGGAATAAAGTTTCAGCCGTCTTCAGGCAGGGAACAGGACACACACAGCCCTCTGATCTGTGGATCCTCCAGGGAGAAGCGGCATGAGGACAGCTTCCTTATTCAGTGCAGTTGTACAATTATGTGAAATATATAATTGCGTATCTTCTCCACGCCTGACCCATTGGCAGTAGGCAGGAGACAATGAATAGAAAGGAGATCCACCTTTGTAACCTCAAAAGCATCCCAGGCCCAGCCCTGGCAAAGTGAGGACTGTCTTGGATGAGTTGCTGAGCTGTGGGCTTGCTCCGTGTCCCTGCTAGTGGCAATTTACCTCTACCCCATCCCTCTTTCCTTCCAGTTCACACTTCAACAAACATTTACTCAGCTATCCCTACAAAGCGCCTTGCCTTGCTGGAGCTCTACAGAGGTATAATCTCTGGAATGGCTCATCTGTACCCTTGCTCCCAGGCCCAGCCCAGTGCTGGGGCATACCTGGACAAACTGTACAGGATTCCTGGGGAAGGCCCAGTTGTGGGAGGCAGGAAAGGGGCATGGCTGAAACTCGACTTTGCAGCTAGGAAATCAGGAGTTAAGGGAAGCAAATCAGGTGCCTGAACAGCCTCCGAGCAGGGTAGGGAATAGGATAGGCTCACTCTGGGCCTAGGGCAGCTGGACAATGAGGTGGAGGAAGGTGCCAGTCATCTCTGAACTCTGAGCGAGAGAACCCAGAGCGCAAGTAAGAAACCCTGGCCAATTCTCATGCCTTGTTCCTTTCACCATCTAAGCTGGGGCAGGAGGGGAAGTGGCCTGGATCAGCCCCAGCAGAAAACCAGCTGGCCACTCTTTGCTTCTCCTATTGTTCTGATCCCCCCTCCTCCTCCTGTGAGAAAAGGAAAACCAGTGATGGACAAAGGGCGATTGGAGTTGGGCCACAGGGCCAATTTGTGGACGTGCATCCAATGGCGGCGTCATTAGAACAACCTCTCCTGTGAGTGCGGCACTCCCTGGTTTTCACAGTACTTTACCATGCCCTGGTGTTGGTTCTCCCCATATGAGTGTGATGTGCTAGGAGCAAGGGTTTTGGCATCAGACAACATGGGTTCAAATCCCAGTTCTGCTCCTTCCTATCCACATGAACTTGGGCCCATTTCTTAGTTCCCTGTGCCTCAGACTTCCCATAAGTAAAATAGGCTAACAGTAGGTAGGACTGCCTTGAGGATGAAATGAGTTAGTACAGATAGGGTGGTTAGAATCATGGGTTACACAGTAAGTACCCAGTAAATGTTGGTTGGCGAAATTAAGGTTTCTGAGATATTATAAGAAACTTGCCTTCCGATTGTCAATACCAAATCTAGTAGTTTCTATGATTTTCAGTGGGGACTGGAAAGGGGTGGGGCGGTGGCTAGAAGGCGGGGCACAAGGGTGCTTCCTATTCCAACCCAGCCAGATTGCGCACTCTATTTTCACCTGTTGGAATCTTCCAGGATGGTAGGGGATAATAAAGTCAGGCTGATTTAAAAGGGACAGCAGAGACAGGCATAGGGAGGAGCCAGGCAAGCTGAGTGACAAGCAGGATGGTGGCAGGGGTGGGGGGGAAGGAGGGCAGGTGCCCTTCACACACTGCAGGAGGGGGGCAGCTCCTGGAGAGGGTAGCACGCCAGGAGCTAGGGACCTTGGAGTCCAGCCTGCCACCCAGGGGGAGCTCCTGCCTTCCTAGTTTCACTCTGCAGATACCTCCTCTCCCCTCGGGGCCGGCATGGAGTGTTCCTGTTTCAGCCTCAGCAAGAGCCCAGAGGTCTCCTGAGACATAAAAAGGCTGCAGATTCCAAGCTGACCTCAGAGAAAGGAGTGAAGGAGTGAAGCTTTCCTGGAGGCACTGAGCAAAGGCCCAAGTCTTCATGGCCTGATGCCCTTGACTCCAGCCCCCAAATCTCTGGCCACGAGCCAGGCCTCAGTAACTTGGCAAGGGGGAAGGAATCAATTCAGAAAGCTCGGCACACCCTGAGGGTCTCCTTCCTTCCTCAGAGGGAATCTCCCTCTGGAATAACCGGCCCAGTCTCTTCCTTGCAAAGTGAGGAAACATGGCCCGAGGGGAAGTGACTTGGCCAAGGTCACACAGCCTAGCCCCATCCCAGGTTACCACATCCCCTGATGCCCCACCCGGAAGCAGAGCCTCCTTCTGGTGCCCCTTGGTGGCTGGCTCCAAACCTGGTCCCGTGGGAGGTGCAGCTGCTGCAGGAGAAGGAGCTTGCCCCTCACTGTAGCCCATGGCTTTTAGCCCTACATGAGTTTGGGACAGCAATCACATAGGAATGAAAAGCCATAGGCCACAGCAGAGTGGAGGGGTCCAGCGGCAGGAATCTCACAGGGAAGCGAGAATCTGGGGCACCTGAGAAGCCCTCACTCCCCTTTCTCAGCACCCCCCACACTGCCTCCCTCCAGGACTGGGCCCCCCAGGTTAAATTCTCTCAGCGTCCTCACCACCTGCACTAAAGCCATCCCGGTAATGAGTTTCCAGTTCTCGCCCTACAAAGGCGCCACACAATGGTCCTCACTCCAGGGTATGAGGAGGGGTGGCTTCCAGGCCATAAAGGACCTCCTCAAATTCCCTTAATTAGCTTCCAGCCCTCAGCCCAGGGTCCTTAACTACCCCTCCCCTAAAGAATATGGCCGGATCTTTTCAAGGCTGCTGCAGCCAGTGCCCAGGATGGGGCGGGAGTGGGAGGGGGGAGCAGGTTAGGCTCCCTCCTTACAAGCTTAACCCTTTCTCGTCCAGCCACTGTAAGCGCAGAGGGCAAAGGAGGGCAGAGATGAGGGCCTGCCCTTTGTTTAGAGGGGTAAATAGGTTTCTTGAGTGCCCCCAGGGGTGGGGGCTGGGCCACCCTCCCAGACCATTCTGGTGGTTACTGACAACACCCATTCTTACATAGTTTAGAGGAGAGTGAGATCTCCATCTCTAGGCCTGGTTGGAGGCAGAAAGAGGGCTGGAGCTGAAACCTCCCCAAGCTGAGGGCAGCTCATCCTGTTAGCAGTCCCTAGCGAGGCTGTGGAGGGCGCGCAGTGCCCTGCGGCTCCTGGGCAGGACAGGCACCTCCAGGACTGGACTGAAGAGCTGAGTTGAGGCGAACCAAGGTCTCAGGGCCCTGGAAAAGGTGTGTTCTAATCACAAGTACCAATTCCCCGTCCCCCCTCCTGTGCCGAGACTGCTTCGGGCATCAGCTTCAGAGAAGTGGGCCTCTAGGGCTCCTGCTAGCCCAGGCTCAGGAAAGCCCAGGGGACTCAACCTCTCCCAGGGGCCCCCAAGAGGATGGTAAGAGGCCCCAGGCCCAGATCAGGCCCTGCCTCTGCCAGGAAATAGCTGCCATTCTCACCACAACTCTACCCCCAGCCCCAGGGCTACGCCTGCTGGCTCTGCACAACCCTGGTTGGAGCAACCTGCTTTCACTGGACAGGAATCCTGCATTCCCCAACAACAGCACAGCACAGCACACAGCACACCCCTCCACACTCCAGCCATGCCCAACCTTAAGGGCCAAACCACCAGGCATCCTGCAGCCTCCCACCTGAACTTTGGGTCATCCACCCCAGCCCAGCCCCCTCTGGTTCTCCTTTCCTTCCTCTCTCCCAGAACCCCAGACCCACCAGGCCCTGCTTAACTTAAAGCCATGGACTCTAAGCCGAATGCCCTCAGCTCCCTCCCAAGGAATGCTGGGCCAGGGGGCAGGGGTTCCATGGGCTGCTCACCTGGTGGGCTCAACAAGTCCCCCTCTCCCTCGAAGTCTCCCTCACAATTCCCCGCAGAACCACTTCCTGCCTTTCAGGCAGCCACTCACTCCTCCACTCAACCCCAGAAGCTCCACGCCCCAGCCAGGGCAGGCCTCTTCCCTCCCCTGCCCGCCCACCACCGGCCAGGGCTAAGCTGTGCCCAACTCAACTTGACTCACTTGTGACCTGCCCCTCCCCCAGCCCTGAGGACGGTGGGGGTGGGGGCAGGCTGGGCAGGCGGGGCGGTCAGGTATTCCTTCAACCCTGACTTGGGCCTGAGTAACAAAGGTCTCATTGAGCCTCTGGCTGTCTGGTCGGTGAAGCACAAACCTCTTGTATCTACTGGCTTTTGATCTCACTCCCTCTGAACCAGCCATGTATTACTCACGTCCCCCTGCCGGGCTATTGGTGCGGAGGGGCCATTTGGTCCCTCCCTCTCTCCCCATCTCCTTTCTCTCCTTCCTTCCCCTGCCGCTCCCCTCCAGCTTTTTTATGGTTTAATTTTTGGCAGGAGACCTGAGATGGCTCCCAGCAGGCCCCCTCTCCTGCCTGGCCGCCCTCCCCTTCTCCACAGTCCTGGTTCCTCTCCTTACCCATACCCCCTACTCCGCTCCCACCACTCCCATGCTCTGGGAGGACAAGGTCAGCACTTGTCTGTCCTTCCATTTCCTTCCTCGGACCAGCTCGAGCTTGGCCCATCCACCTACCCTCACCCAGTCCTGCCCATGGATCCCCAGCCATAGCCTCCGATCCCAGCTGCCTATCCTTGGGCACAGGAAGGGCTTAGCCCCTGGCCTGCCTGCTGGACCCAGCCCACCAGACAAGCCTCAAGTAAGCTCTGGAAGTGGGCAGTCTCTCTCAGGTGTGTCTGGACCAGAAGGACTGGGCTGGGGGTGGAGGTGGGGACAGCCATCATGTCTCAGGTTAGACTGAACCTCACTTGGAATACGGAGGAAGAGGAAGCAGGTCAAGCCTCGCCTCCTTTCCCAAGTAAACCCTGCTCCCTCCAATCAGGAGCACCTGAGCAGTGAAAGGCCACTGCTGGGCGAGAACTCCAAGGACGCCCCCTCCTCAAGCTGGGGCCATGCCCATGATTCCAGTGTCCTCTGTGGCCACCTGCAACCTTTCTGCAGCTTGCTGGTGGTAAGAACTGGGGCCCGGCAGCCCAAGGGACATCCATGGTATATAAGGGCCACCTCACAGGGCCACTGGAACATTTTCTCTTTAGCTTCCCCTTGCTCTGTCACCCAGAATCCCTTTCCTCCTTGGCCACTCCAGGGAGAGAGGCAGGCACCTTTGAGGTCCGAGCTCTCACCAGAAATGCCAACAGATGCTAAGAATTCCCATGATGGGCAACTCTAGAGCCCTGCCCATCCCCCACACCTACCATCTTTGACCTCCTCTCCACTTCAGGGGTTTCCACCCCTCCCTGGCCCTCAGGTACTCCCATTTAGCCAGATTTGGGAAACTTTTTCTGCCCCAACAGAGGCCCCATTCTTCCTGCCATGGGCTCCTATTGTCCCTCATGACTCCACACATTCTTGGACCTCTAATGAGAAGTGGAGACAATCACCCTGCCTGCCTGCCCTTGCCGTCAGCACAGCCTGGGCCCTACTGCCTGTGGTAGGAATTGGGGGTGGGGGGTGGGCAGGGAGGCAACCAGGAGGGAATAAAAGACGGTGGGGGACAAAACAGGAGTGAGGGGGAGAGGGAACTGACAGACACAGAACAGAGACACTGAGAGAAATTGTGAAGAAGAGGACGGAGGTGATAGTTGGAAATGTAGACAAAACTCAATAGGCAAAAAAAGGAAAGAAGGCGAAAAGAAGCTTTTTTTTAGTGAAAACTGTATTATGCATGCTAGGTTCCCCTTAATGATAATCTTTTGGTAACACGAAGTCTTATTATCAGTCCCATTTGGTAGATGAGAAAACTGAGGTTTATGGAGGCTACAACTTGCCTGGATGACATTGTTTGCTCTTCGAGGAGAGGGTAGGAGAAGCCTGAGAGAAACAGAAAGCAGAGAGCCACAAAAGGAGAAGGCTGACAAAGAGAAAGTGGCAGCAGAGGGGAACAGGCAGAACAGAGGCAGCAGGGACAGATGAGGGGCCTGAGGGAGGAGGCAGAGGGACGAGGGACGGCTGGGGAGAAGAGACCTCAGGTGTCCCTGGCCTGATTGGCTGGTGGGTGTGCCCTCCCCTCCTCTCTAGTAAATAGTCCCTTAATCTTAGCACAAGCTGCAGAAGTCAGGTCCAGCAAGAAAACTAAAGCCTGTTTCACTGGGGAGCAGGCTGCAGCAATTCCATTTTTAGGGAGCTCCAAGTCCCACCATTTCCTTCAAGGGCATACAGTCAACCTGGGCCTCAGCCCACATCAGGGCACTGATTGGAGATGGCTCCAGCTGAGGCTAAGCCAGGAGAACTCCTTTGCAAAAACAGTGAACCATTACCCCTCCACAGTAGAGAAAGACAGGGAAGGGGCAGCGGGGCAAACTGGGCTCAGTCCAAGGAAGAAAAAAAAGCCCTATTCTTTCCAACAGGAGCCAGTGGGCTTCCTGTCACCAGAGATCATCAAACACAGGGTGCACAGCCACATCTCAGACCCACTGCCTGGCACACAGTGCTGCCCAATAAATGGTATGCTAATGTAGGCGCGATCCTTGCACCTGGAAGTGAGATAAAACCTAAGGTCCCAACAACTCCAACATTTCATGACTCTACATTGGAGCTGACTTGTCCTCTCAGAGCCTTTCATAGACTTACGTACCCTTTGCAGGGACTTAGAGCTCAGCAGACCTGCCTTTGCAGGTGGTGGAAGGGAACCAGGACATTAAAAAGATACTAAATAAAAACCACTTGCCTTTATCATCCCACACATAATACAATCCAAAAAGACTAAACCAGAAGCATTTCACATTATTTCTATGGATGTTGGCTGAATAGTATAGGTACACATTCATTGAATGAATGAATGAATAGTTGATGAGGCTTGGAAACAAGAGCAAGAGATCCAAGCTCTCCTATATTTCAGGTTTGGTGTGTGGTGTGCTTGGAGTTCCCTCATGCCTGTCCTCTCAGGGAAGAAAGTCCCTGGGCTAGAACAGGTTGTGAGGTGTGAATGGGGAGCAAAGCCTGGAAATCTAATTCCACTCAGCATGGGGGTGGGAAGGCACTGTTGAAACTTCAAAGAGCCTCAGGGGATATGATTCTGCTACCTGCCCCAAACGAGCCTGCAGATTTGGAGTTACGTTTGAGATGGGCAGTTCCTGGCCCAGAACCAACCCAGGAGAGGACTAGTTTCATGAAGATGGACCCAGCAGGCTCCCACATACATGGTCGTCCAGACCTGCACTAGACCAGCAGGCGTGACTGCTCTGAATCGCAGAGTGATTCGCAGTGTGTGACTGCTCTGAATTCTCCGTTGATGACCTCCCTATTTTTAGGCTACTAGGTAGCCTTTCTCCAGGGAAAGTTTCCAGTCCCCTCTGCTCCCAGGTTCCATCTCTACACCAAAGCATGGACAGCTCAGGTTCCCTGTCATTTAACAACTCGGGAGCCCCCAACCCCCTGGGGTAAAGTGGGAAGGGTGCTGCTCCACTGAGCAAGAAAGCACAATTTTCCCCCAACCAAGGGCTTTCTCTAGTTGTTCCAGGAGCCTCAGTTCTGAGCCTTCTCAGGCAGATAGAGGGAGGTCCTAGCCTGGCAGCCCTGGGCTCCTAGGGAAGGGAGAGACAGAGACCTGGCAACAGTCCCAGGCAACGAAGATAGCAAGAGACCTAGGGGCAGGAGAGCAAACACAGGCAGAAACTGGGGGAGTCTCTGCTGCCTGGATACCCCCAGCCTCCGCATCTGATCTCCACTAAGCTCCAAGGTCGGGCTGTGGGAGGAAGGACACAGGGAGGTTCTTGTGTCACAAGAATCTAGCCTCTCCCAGTCCAGGACCCAGGCCACAGTTTTGCCTCTTAGTCAATAAAGCTGTTAAAGGACAATATAAGAATGGGTGACTGGCAAACTCACATGCATTTCAACCTGAGCAATTTATGAATATCCAGATGTCTCAGTGTCTGCCCAAGCACTATTCCTGCCCCCACCCCTTTTCTTCCATGCCCCTCCTCAACCCACATGGGGTGATTGTACCCCAGCCTAAAGAGCTATGGAGCTGGGCTCTCCCAAGCCCCTGTGGAGTACCTCTTGGAGGAGGAGGCAGACAGAAATGAAGGGTGGGGAGAATGGCTTCAGGGACTCATGGCTTGTCACTCATTTATCAAACATGCACCAAGCACATACCGTGGGATGGGCACTGTGCTAGGCCGGGCAGGCAGTCCAGTGGGAAGACAGGCCCATATGCATGTGACTGCAATTCAGAGCAGTCAAGCCAGCAGGACTGTGGTCTCCCCCACCGCCACCCGGTCTTCTTCAGGTCACCTCTTCCGTTACACTGAATTTGATCCTCCCTAGTTGAGGGTCTCTTCCTCCTCTTCATAACTTTAGGACAGTAGTCCCCAGCTCTGAGTGAGACCTCCTGGGTGTTCTCTTTGTGTGGGGGTGGGGCGCACGGGGTGGGGATGGTGGTATATGAGCAATGGGAGGGGTCCTGAGTCTCAGAGGGTGCCCAATACCACTTGGAGGAGGTGTTGTGTGATGTGTGTGTGTGTGTCTGTATGTGAGAGAGATCTTCTTTTCCTGCCTCTGTGACAGCCCCAATGGGGCAATGGGGAGTGGAACTGAGTGGACTGAGCGATAAAAGCTGTTTGCAGCCCCAGGCCTCAGTTGTGTACTCCTGGAAGGCATAAGCCACCAAAATTATCCCTGAAGGGGGTTTCTTAGAGGACAATCCCTTTCCCCTCAATTCAGAGCTCCTTGACCCAGGGTTCCCATCCCAGCCTCAAAAGAGCTGACTTTTCCTAGTTAGTCCTTCTTAAGGCTCAAGTTGAGAGAAGTTGTTCACTGGCAGATAAGGTATGTTAAAAAA